AATAAATTTTGGTATATTGGCTACTTGTTTCCATGGCGACAGTGAAAGACATGAGCTGGCAACAGAGCGAAGCGGCATAGTGTAAACACCCTTGTTTTGAAAAGTAATCCGGTATAGTGTAAACGGGGCCTTAGGAAGCCGTTATGCATGCCCGCTTTAAGAAGACGTATAGTTATAAAGTTAACTACATTTAGTGGAAATGTTCATGCAGCACTCACAATAGTGCTGATATATATATATATATATATATGAGAGTTAACTAAATTTAACCACAAAAAGAGTAGTTAATTAAAAAGTAGTTATGAGTTTTAGTCAGCTATATAAAAGCTTTTAAGTGCCGTAGTTTGTTTTACGGGCGGGTTTATGAATTCCCGGTTTCCCGGGCTGGTCCGCTATTTGGGGGTGCATGGCATTCTAATAATTTCCTGTACAAAACTATTTCACTTTAGATAAAAACCGAGAGATCGGCCGTTCGGCTGGGACCGCACTTAACTTAAGCTGGGCTGAAATTTGTCCATCCAAATTCGGATAACCGCGATAGTACATGGCAAAAACTTCGTTTAACGAAAAGCTTCTGAAGTTAGTCTTTGCTGATAGAACACTGAGTTTTTAATAAAAAATGTGTTTAATAAAGTATGAATTTGACTTCCGTGACAAACCGTACGCTATTTTAACTCGTAAACAAATTTCCGCCTGGTTACGTCTCATCGCGGCTAACATGGCTCATAAACAACTCCAAAATATGTCCATTACCTGCCACCTGTAAGTACTTATACTTATATGTACATATTTTGGGGATGTTTATCCTTACCTCATGTTGGATACGGCCAAAAACGGCCTTAAAGCATAGGCGTATGGGCCGGGGGGTAGGACCCAGAGGGCACGTGTCCGCCCAAAATTTCTGCGGTCGGGCAAAAGTCAATGTGACATTCGGGAAAAACATAAAAAATTACGTAATGTTAGGGAACATTTTTGATATAGGCAAAATTTTCGTATTTTACTGGCAAATTTTGGGTATGTCCGGAAAAATGTTTTTCGTGTGTCCCGAAAAAATGTTTTGGTGATTCCCCCACCCCCCGCTTGCCAACATTTTGGGGGAGAAATATTAATGTTAAGTTTCCCTATTCGGGAAAACTATACTGTGCCCTCCCCCCCCCAAAAAAAAAAAGGCTAGGCCCGTACGCCCAGGCGTTTATGGAACATAAATATCAATGCACAAAAGCAAAAAAGGATAACAATTAAAGTTTTCAATCTAATATATTAATCAATATTTTAAAAGACCGCTTTACGAATATTGATCACGAATCAGAGAGAAATAAAAAACCTAACTAAGATGTGGTAAATTAGAATAGAATAAAAACCTTCTCGGGGGGTTTGAAGGCGTCCACCTGAAAATCTTCGCACTTTTGAAATCTATAGGGAGCTTGACCTCCATTGTATTTGTAAATGCTAAAGAAACTTAAATTCATTATTGCGCAAAATGTCAACAACCCCTACACATATTGCACGGTGCTAAAGACGGTGCTAAAGAAAAACGGTGCTAAAGCATTGTCCACCATAGAAACATTTGTCCTTTAAAATTAACGGAAAAATCACCAAAACTTTCAAAAATCATCGTCCAGCTTTTTAATGGTAATACATGCAGTTCTCGGTCGACAGTCAGTTACTCCAGAATATATATGAAGATTGAATTCTCTCTTGTTAAAAAGCAGCAACGAGCAAATTATAGCATTTAAATAATATAGCATTTTCACCAAATAATTCAGTATGTGGTCCTAGTGTATAAGTAGCAAATTAACAGACAACAATATAATGGAATTGTTACAGTATAAAGCTACTTGAAATATATTGCCATAACTTTGATGTTGTCAGCGAAGGACCTTTGTTTCGAAAACTCCAATTCAAGTTCTATCATCCTACGGCAGCTATGTTATATGCAGTATATATTCACTAAATACGTACCTATATTTTGAATCCCTCTCTAAAGTTATCACAGTGGAAAATCAAACACCTACTTCAAGTTGTGTTTTCAGTTGCTTAATGACCTGTTTTTCTAAGCGTCGTGCATTTAATGTAGCCATTATAATCGTTAATTTATTAATGAGGCAACTTTGAATACATAAAATAGTGTATTATGTCCTTTATTGTTGCGATAAATGCTGATTAATTCATTTTATGCTTGTGATGTTACTCTGAGTGTATATCCACACCGGGCAAGTCAGAGTAACATCACAAGCATCATATTCACCTGAGTACATTGACCAACACAGAAAAATCATAATTCATTTTAGTTCTAGTTTTGAGCATTTCTTCTGATCAGTACCTGCCGAACTCAATTGCTTCATGTCATGTATTTAATGTAGCTGGCGCCACGAAGACCAAAACTTGACGGCTTAATTTAATTGATCAATGGATCAATTAAGCCGTCAAGTTTTGGTCTTCGTGGCGCCAGCTACATTAAATACATGACATGAAGCAATTGAGTTCGGCAGGTTCAATTTATTAATCGAACTTAGCGGGTAACCGCACAATTTCTGGAAGCATATCTTTTTCTAGTACGCTTGTATTTTCAGTTCATACGCCATCTACTTAATACATAAAAAAGTTAATTATTTTCCAAGTAGAAAACTGCAAATTCTTGGCGCCATCACGAATCTTGGATAACGTTCGGTGATTAGCTGATACGAGCAATGGCACACAATAAACTATAGATGTCAAGAATACATGTTCTAACTGGAGGACGAGTCACAACCACTGCGTGTTTACGAAAGTTAATGAAAAACATGCATGTTCATTTTGCACTTTTTGTTGTATTTACCGAATACCCGACAACTCTACACAAATAACATTGCTTTTCTCGAGTTATTCTGGGTACTAGTGATATAACTCTAATTCATTTTAAAAGTATTGAAATGTCCTTATAGTAAATTCTCTGAAGACTCAGGATCTCAGTATAGTATTGATTCATGAGCAAAACACAAAGGAAGCCAACATCCATTTGACACAGTCCATTTGACAAATAATATAATAACCTCGACTAGAAGCTGTTTTCTCACTGCAGTTTATAAAACACCTCAAAGTACATATGCGAAACAACTAGCCTTGCGCCTCGTTTTGAATACACATTTCGTTAATTTCCATGCGGAATACCAAACAATGATATAACAAGTGTATACTATATATTCCACAACTCGCAAGGCGAATGATTAATCACAAAGGCACTAATCCCGAGGACGGCTTTGCTCCCCGGACTTGTACAGGACGTCGCGCGCTTTCCTGCTGGGGTCTCCTTATTGCATAGGAAAACATAAGAAAAAGTATTTTGCCAACGTAAATCGTTTACTGCGTATTATACTTAACGAAGTTGGCTAAATTGAACCGATTATTACCATTACTACCAGTTACATATTGATTGCATATATTTCTGTGGAGGTAAACCATGACTGAAGTATAAAATTCTTTAACATAGGCATCGGGCGAAAAATAGTTGGGAAGCGGGCGAACATTTAGCTGACATTGATCGAAATTGCCCGTTAGTTGGGTTCTGTTATTATGTTCAGTTC